ATAATCCTAAAAGGAGAATGGAGAAGGGATTGTGGTATGGCCATCACCCCTTGGGGTGATTTTTCACTCCCCCACTTGTTTCCTGGCAAAGTGCATGTGCCCTATAGCAGGGGTAAGGGGTGGAGGACAAAATCCAGGGCCAGAGTGTGGTACAAAAACAATACAACCAGGGACCAGCAGTTGGCGTAATGGCTATGTCGCTGGACTCCCAGGTAGCCGACCGCGGTTGGAGTCCCGGACCCGGTGGCTTAAACTCACGCTGGGCACGTGTGTGTGCGTGCCCAAGATCCCGAGAGGAGAATGGAGGAGAAGGGATTGCGGCGTGGCATCGCCCCCGTGGGGTTGATTTCTCGCTTTCTGTCTCTCTGTCTTTCTGGCAAGCGCACACGCCCTATAGCAAAAACCTCTCCAAAAAACCCCCAATAAACAATACAACCAGACCCACATGGGAAGGCTCCCAGTTGTGTCCTGGGGCCTCTCTGTGCAGACCAGTGCATGTACACACCCGTGATCCTGGTTCGTTAAGGCTGGGGGTGGATCAGGGTACCTGTCTCTATCTTTCACTGTGTTACAAAAATAAGTAAAGAAAAAATATATCCCTAGGACCACCAGCAGAGGGCATAATGGGTACGTCACTGGACTCCCACACAGTCAACCACGGTTCGAGTCCTGGACAGAGTGGCTTAAAACTCACACCGGGCGTGCGTGTGTGTGTGTGTGTGTGTGCATGCCCCAAATCCCAAGAGGTGACTGGAGGAGAAAGGATTGCAACATGGCCATCCCCTCTAGGGGGTGATTTCTCACTTTCTGTCTCTCTGTGTGCCTCTCTGGCAAGCACATGTGTCCTATAGCAAAAATTAAAAAGAGAGAGAGAGAGAGAGAGAGAAAAGATAAATCTCTAGTATGCATGTGCTCCCTTGCTCCCTGGGGTGTGCCGCTGGGGTGTGAGGGTGGCCTTCTCTTGATCCAGCCTTAGGCAAGCACCTGGCTTCCACTTATCAACAAGTAAATGCTCTAGAACACTTTTCACTTTTTTTTTTTTTTTAAGGTGTTTGGCATAGGGCATGTGCGTTCACTGGAAAGAGACAGTGAGAGAGAAAGTGAGAAAGAGAAATTACCCCCTGGGGGGACTGCCACACCACAATTTGGGGCACGTATGCACACGTGCCGGGTGTGACTCTCAAGATGCCAGATCTGGGACTCGACCCACGGTTGGCCATATGAGAGTCCAGTGCCCCAACCACTATGCCACCAACAGGGCCCAACTCCAGAATTCTCCTGGAACGTTTGCAGATGCAGGCCAGACAACACTTTTTCATGTCAAGTTCACCTGGTATTTTAGGGGACAAGAAGCCAACATGGGTGTGGGCGAGTCAGGCAGGAGGGAGATGCCAGGGCTTGGGGGATGGCAGATCCTTGGCCACGTCCATGAGGAGGGCCCCACATGGTCCCCTTGTCTTGGGCATGGGTGCAGCACCAGCTCTTGACACCTCTCCACCAGATATAGAGCTCAGGAGCCGCTCCCTGGCCTGGCCTTCTGGTTCCTCCGGCCCAGCCAGCTGCAGCCGTCCAAGGCTCCCTGTCACCCCATCCATGGGCTCTGCCCTCCTGCCTCCTCCTCCCTTGGGCCTCTTTGGCATGTGAGAGAGTAATTCTACTTTTTTTCTTTTTAAATGTGCTATATGCTCACCAGAGAGAGAGACACAGAGAGAGAGAGAGCAGACAAAGTGGGAAAATCACCCCCCAGGGGGGATGGCCACGCCGCAATCCCTTCTCCTCCATTCTCCTCTTGGGATCTTGGGCACACATGCACACGCACCCGGCGTGAGTTTAAGCCACCGGGTCCAAGACTCAAACTGCGGTCGACTACATGGGATTCCAGTGACGTAACTGTTATGCCATCTGCTGGTCCCACCAATCACTTTTTTTCTTTTCTTTTTTAAAGATTTATTTTATATTTGACCAGAGAGGGGCAGGGTGTGTGTATGAGAGAGAAAAAGAGGGAGAGTGAGAAAGCAAGTCGCCAGGTCTGGGACTTAAACCGTGGTCAGCCATGTGGGAATTCAGCACCCTTAACCATCACGTCATCTGCTGGCCCCCAGCAATCATTTTATTTTTTTTAACAAATTGTTTTATTTAGCTTCATTTATTTATTTATTTATTTATTTAAATTTGACTAGAGAGGGACAGAGAGAGAGAAAGAAAGCCGCCAGGTCTGGGACTCAAACTGTGGTCAGCTATGTGGGAGTCCAGCACCCTTAACTACCACGCCACCTGCTGGCCCCCATCAATCATTTTCAAATGTCCTGAGACCCTGTGGACACTGAAGTGGGCCGGGGCTCCTAGCCTAAAATTTTGCTGCTGGTGCAGGGGGGCAGTCTCGGGGTCTGGACTACACAGCGTGAGGGTTACTGGAATGTGGCCAGCACTTCCCAAACTTTGGTTTGCAGCCAACCCTCTCTTCAGATGGAGTAGTGGACACAAGATCCATCTGCCGTTCGGAGGCTCCGCCTGGACTGCGGCGCCTGGAGGTGAATCTGGCAGCCGAGCGGCAGCTACACCTCACACATCCTTCAGTCCTCCCCTCCTTTTTTTTTCTTTGAGAGGTTTTTGCTATAGGGCGCGTGCACTTGCCAGACAGAGACAGAGAGACAGAAAGCGAGAAATCACCCCCAGGGGCAATGGCCACATGCAATCCCTTCTCCTCCATTCTCCTCTCGGGATCTTGGGCACGCACGCACACATGCCAGGCGTGAGTTTAAGCCACCGGGTCTGGGACTCGAACTGTGGTCGACTACATGGGAGTCCAGCAACATAGCCATGACGCTAACTGCTGGTCCCAGGGCCTCTTTTTTCCAGCTCTGGCTTGTTTCTGGGGAAGCCACAGCAGTTCCTGGGTGAGTGAAGTTGGAGGTGACTGGGCCTGCCATCATGTTCTGCTACCTGTGTGACCCTGGGGGCTTCTGTAGTATTTTCTGTCACAGGCAGGCAGCTGGACCTTGCCCAGGCTGGGGGCAGAGTGAGGAGACTAAGGGCCAGAACCTCAAAGCCAGTGGAAGAGGCCACCTCAGGGGGAGGTGGGGACTTTCGGGGACCTCGTACGCTGTGTATCAGCACTTGGCATTACTGCCGCCATAGAGGAAGTGGGGCTGGGCCTGCCTGGGCTGGAGCGCTGTGCCCAGGCCCTGCCTCCAACATATACTCTAGCTCAAGAGAGGAGCCCGGCCCTGCTTCACTGCCCGGGCCTGCCTGGACTTAATGGCCACTTCAAACTCCTCCGAAATATTGCCTCACCTCTTGGGCTTAGTCCCTCCCTCCTTTGCTCCCAATTCCACAGGAGACACAGTGGCTGATTACCGGGCTGCAGGGGAGGACGCTTCCATTCCACCACCCCCCATGAGGGAGCTCGGGGCCCCTCCATCTGCTCAGGGGCTCATGCCCTGTGTGCGCCATCTCTGGGACCTCACACCCCATCTGCGCCACTCAGGAGTCCCACGTCTCACAGTGGGTGCACTTGCGTCCCTATGTCACAAGTGGGAAAGGAGAGAGCCTGTCCGAGTCCGTGTCCATAGCATGGAGCCAGATTCTGAGCCCAGCCAGGCCACGATGGGGACTGGACACTTGACCCTTTTGCTGTGCCAACTGTCCACACAATTTCTTTCTTTCTTTTTTTTTTTTTTGAGAGGTTTTGTTATAGGGCACGTGCGCTCGCCAGACAGAGAGACAGAAAGTAAGAAATCACCCCCCAGGGGGGATGGCCATGCCGCACTCCCTTCTCCTCCATTCTCCTCTCGGGATCTTGGGCATGCATGCACAGGTGTCCGGCGTGAGTTTAAGCCACCGGGTCCGGGACGCGAACCATGGTCGGCTACGTGGGAGTCCAGCGACATAGCCATGACGCTAACTGCTGGTTCCAGCACACAATTTCTTAACTCCCCAGGGTGTCTGCTCCGAGACTGAGCCTTAGGGCGGTGTGGCAGTGGAGGACGCACGTCACCTGGGAGACGGTGAGGCCGCCCTTCCTGGCCAGCTCTTCTTTGGCTTCTTCACTGGGGTAAGGGTTGCTCAAATGGGAATAGAAATACTTGTTCAGCACTTCCGTGGCCTGCTTGCTGAAGTTGCGCCGCTTGCGCCTGCAATGACAGACAGACCTAGTTGGAATGAATACGCTGGGACTCTAGGAGGACTGCACCATCCCCAAGTATTGGGTTGTTGTGAAAGTCATGACTTTTTTTTTTTTTTTTTTTGAGAGGTTTTTGCTATAGGACGTATGCAAAAAGAAAGAGAGACAGAGAGACAGAAAGCAAGAAATCATCCCCCAAGGGGGATGGCCACGCCGCAATCCCTTCTCCTTCATTCTCCTCTCGGGATCTTGGGCACGCACACAAGCCCGGCATGAGTTTAAGCCACCAGGTCTGGGACTCGAACTGCAGTCGACTACATGGGAGTCCAGCGACGTAGCCATTATGCCATCTGCTGGTCCCATCACGTATTTTTCTATGCAAAATTTGTCCTGACTTTTCTGATGACCCAATATGATTTTCTTTCTTTTAAAATTTGTTATAGGGTGCGCACGCTCACCAGAGAGAGAGCGAGCGAGCGAGGGAGAAGCATGAAAGCATGCCCACCCTGGGAGGCGATAGCATCCTGAAATATCTTCTTCTCCGTTCTCCTCTTGGGATTTTGGGCATGCACTCACATGTGGCCAGCATGTTTCCCAAGCCATCAAATCTGACACGTGAACCACACAGTCAGCCGTGTGGCATTCAGATCCTTCTCAACCACCATGCCACCTGCTGGCCCTCTAGGTATAATTTTCTAGCTGTTATAAACAGTAATAGGGGCCAGCAGGTGGCATGATGGTTAAGATGCTGGACTCCCATGTGGCCTACCGCAGTTCAAGTCCTGGACCTGGTAGCTTAAATATCACACTGGGCACCTGTGCGTGCATGCCCAAAATCCCAGGTGGAGAATGGAGAAGGGATTGTGGTGTGACCATCCCTGCTGGGGGTTGACTTCTCACTTTCCTTCTCATTGTCTCTGTCTCTCTCTGGTGAGCACATGCGCCCAATTTCAAAAACCTAAAAAATAAATAAATAAAAAGAGCAATTGATACTTCAGATTGCCCTTCTTCTTCTTTTTTAAAATTACTTTTTAAATTTTATTTATTATTTTTTAACTTGACCAGAGAGACAGAGAGAGAAAGCAAGCTGCCAGGTGGTCCAGGACTCAAATAGTGGTCGGCCATGTGGGAACCCAGTGCCTTAACCACCACGCCACCTGCTGGCCCCATTCTTTCTTTTTCTTTTTCTTTTTTTTTTTAAAAGAGAGATTCTTGCTATACTGTGTGTGTGAACTTGCTGGAGAGACAGAGACAGAGAGACAGAAAGCAAAATTCCCCACCCCCTGGGGGATGGCCATGCTGCAATCCCTTCTCCATTCTCCTCTCAGGATTCCGGGCATGCATGCACATGTGCCCAGCGTAAACTTAAAGCCACCAGGTCTGGGACTTGAACCACAGTCGACTACATGGGAGTCCAGAGACATAACCATTACGTCATCTGCTGGTCCCCAGATTGCCTTTCAGAGAGGCTATGTGAGGCCTACACCCACGTCCGTGGTCAGAGCCCCTAGGACTGTGTACTTACCTATCTATCAATAATTAATTAGATGGGGTCTAGGCACGTCATGAACCTCCAGCCGTAGCCTCCTAGTTGGGACCACAGGTGTGTGCCACTGTGCGTGCGTGGCTCTTTTATTTTATTTATTCATGTATTTATCAGAGGATGTGTGCAATTGTCAGGGATTGAGAGAGAGAGAGAGAGAGAGAGAGATAAAGCAACCCCCAATGGGGCACAGTCCCTTCTTTTTTTTTTTTTTTTTTTTTTTAAGGGTTTTTTTCTATGGGGCCAGGAAGACAAAAACAGACAGAGAGACAGAAAGTGAGAAATCACCCCCCAAGGGGGATGGCCACGCCGCAATCCCTTCTCCTCCATTCTCCTCTCGGGATCTTGGGCACGCATGCACACAGGCCCGGCAGTTGAGTTTAAGCCACCGGGTCTGGGACTCGAACCGTGGTTGAACACATGGGAGTCCAGCGACATAGCCATTACGCCAATTGCTGGTCCCCACAGTCCCTTCTTTATGTCTCCATCTTGTTGGGATTTTGGTCACACATGCACACATCTCTGGCATGTTTTTCAAGCCACTGGGGCTTAGAATGAACCACGTGGTAAATCACGTGGGATCCAGCCCCCTTAAACACCAGGCCATGGGACCGGCCCACGCAGGTTCTTTTTCAGACAGGGTCTTGCTATGTCACCCAGGTCAATCTCAAGCTCGTGACCCTCCTAACTCAGCCTTCCCCAGTTGCTGGGATTATAAGAGCACACCACCGAACCCGGCTTTTAGGTTGGACTGAGAATCGAACCTTGGCCTCTCGTGTGGTCCCACACTGCAGAAAATAGCATCTTCGTGGTGCGTGCTACAGCTGGCCATGATGTGGGATGTGGTAGCCCCCGAGGACTACATTTTTTTATTTTGAGAGGTTTTTGCTATAGGGCGCGTGCGCTCGCCAGACAGAGAGAGAGAGACAGAGAGACAGAAAGTGAGAAATCACCCCCCAGGGGGGATGGCCACGCCGCAATCCCTTCTCCTCCATTCTCCTCTCGGGATCTTGGGCACGCACGCACACGCGCCCGGTGTGAGTTTAAGCCACTGGATCTGGGACTCGAACCGTGGTTGACTACATGGGAGTCCAGCAATGTAGCCATTACGCCAACTGCTGGTCCCCCCAAGGACTACCTTAATCTCCACCCAGCACTGATTCCCTCATCTTCTGGAGAGTCAACACCCCCATCCCCACCCCATGTCATGGGCAACGCAGTCCCTGACCTGGCGTCCAGGAACCGCGAGCGCAGGGTCATCACCGCCTCGCAGGTGCTCTGCTTCAGCTGCATCTGGATGGCGCCGAACTTGCTGTGAATGACGCCAACCAGGCGCTCGATCTCCTTGGGGGAGACGGGCCTCATCCTGCTCTGCTCCTGGAGAAGGTTGGTGACGTGCGTGGTGAACTCATAGCAGGCCTGCGGTGGGGACACAGACAGGCCGGCCTGTGATGAAGCAGCAGGCCGGGGCGGGGCAGCAGACTTCACGGCGGACCAGCCACCTGCCGCCTGCCGTGGCTCTCACACAGACTGGTGACTGGGAAATCAATGACAAGGGCTTTCGGTAAAGCCGGCCACCTTGACGGGGACCGATGGCGTGTACTCCCTGTTCTGTGCTCACAAAAGAAAGGCAGTTAGCGTTCCGGGTTGTGCTTTGACAAATGCGCATTCACATGATAGAAACTCTTCCATGCAGAAAGATCACCTGTTCATATTTCTCTAGCTCAGAGTGGTAAATCTGTCGGATCTGGGACAGCTTGGCCCTGTAGTCAGAGTGCTCAATGCTATTGTCATTTGGACAGCCACCTGGTGTTGCTGCGCCGGCCACCACCACTGGTCCTCCTCTTCCCTTCTTCTCTGGCCTGGACACGCCCTCGGCCAGCAGCATGTTATCCAGTCTCATGAGCTGAGCGTCAAGGGGCTCCTTGTCCCGAATGCCACGGATGCTGACCACTGGATAAGAGAGACGGGGGGAGGGCGACAAGTCAAGATCCATCTTTTTCTTTTTTTTTTTTTTTTTTGCTATTGGGCACGTGCACTCGCCAGACAGAAAGAGAGAGAGAGACAGAAAGCGAGAAATCATCACCCAGGGGGGATGGCCATGCCGCAATTCCTTCTCCTCCATTCTACTCTAGGGATCTAGGGCATGCATGCACACATGCTCGGCGTGAATTTAAGCCACCAGGTCCGGGACGCGAACCACGGGAGTCCAGCGACAACAGTCATTACGCCAACTGCTGGTCCCCTCAAGATCCATCTTCTGGCGAGAACACAACCTGATGTTAATGTTGGCATCAGGTCTGAGCATTTTGCATGGAACCCTTCAGGAAAAAATGAAGGGGCCAGCAGGTGGTGTGGAAGTTAAGGGGCTGGATCCCACATGGCTGACTCCACAGTTCAAGTCCTGAACCTGGCGGGCTGAAAAACACACCAGAGGTGTGTGTGTGCGTGCGTGCCCAAAATCCCTAGAGAAGAATGAAAGAGAAGGGATTGCGGCAGGGCCACCCTCCCTGGGGGTGATTTCTCGTTTTCCCTCTCTCTGTGTCTCTCTCTAGCAATCACATGTACCTTATGGCAAATTGAAAATAAATAAATAAATAAACAAACAAACAAACAAATAAATAAATCAAGAAAGAATATGAAGGGGCTGGCCCCTTGGTCTAGTGATTAATGAGCCAGATCCCACGTGGTCAACTGCAGTTTGAGTCTGGCTCCGGTGGCTTAGGAAATATGCTGGGGGGACCAGAAGTTAGCGTAATGGCTGTCGCTGGACTTCCATGTAGACGACCATGGTTCGAGTCCCGCACCCGGTGGCTTAAACTCATGCCGGGCACATGTGCGTACGTGCCCAAGATCCCTAGAGGAGAATGGAGGAGAAGGAACTGCAGTATGGCTATCCCTCCTGGGGGGTGATTTCTCGCTTTCTGTCTCTCTGTCTCTCTCTGTCTGTCTGACGAGCGCACACACCCTATAGCAAAAACCTCTCCACCCCAAAAAAAAGAAAAAGAAAAAGAAAATTTTCTGGGCAAGCATGTGTGTGTGTGTGTGTGTGTGTGTGTGTGTGTGTATGCCCCAAATCCTGACAAGATAGGGAAATAGACCATGGTATGACAACAGCCCATGGGGGGCTACTTTCTCCCTCTCCTTCTGGTGAGCACTCATGCTCTCTGGTAATTAAAAAAAAAAAAAAAAAAAAGAAGAGGAAATTTTCCACAAACTTTTTGTAAAAACATGGAATTAAAGGAGGACCAGCAGTTGTCATAATGGCTCTGTTGCTGGACTCCCATGTAGTCAACTCAGGTTCGAGTCCCGGACCCGGTGCCTTAAACTCATGCCAGGTGCATGTGCGTGCGTGCCCAAGATCCCGAGAGGAGAATGGAGGAGAAGGGATCGCGGCGTGGCCATTCCCCCTGGGGGGTGATTTCTCGCTTTCTGTCTCTCTGTCTCTGTCTGTCTGGCGAGCACACACGCCCTGTAGCAAAAACCTCTCCAAAAAAAAAAGATTGTACAATTTTCCAATGCAGCAGTGTAAGTAGAAGGAAACTTTTAAAAAAGTTACCCAGGAAGACCCTGGCGTCTCGGTCGCTGCCATCCCAAGCAGTGTGTGCTTGGGCCTCACCTGACCTACTCGAAAAGTGCCATCTGCCCTGTCAGGTGCTCCTCACGTGGGGCCTGCAGCTCCCTCAGTGCAGGCATCTGTCCTCCCAGTGCATCGTCACTAGCCTAATTACGGTCATTAGCCGTTCCTTACGAGTAATTACAATCAGCTCATTTCTGGTTGACTATTCCAGGGCATCTCAGCTCCCCGAAGGCCCTCGAGTGACAGGTCAGGAGGCCATGGGGACCAGGAAGGAGCTCAGCTCAGGGAACACCATAGATATTGAAGGCACTCAGACGGAAAGACGGGATGGAAAATAAAAGCTATCCCCCTCCCCAGACTGCCAGATTTCCTTTGTCCCAACTTTCCGAGGGTAAGGTCGAAACTCCAGCACACCACATAAAAATGTAAAATAAAATTGGGAATACTGGGCTGGCCCAGTAGTGCAGTGGTAAAGTGCTGCGCATAGAAAGTCAGATCCCTCGGGACCAGCAGATGGCGTAATGGCTATGTCGCTGGACTCCTATGTAGTTGACTGAGGTTCGAGTCCCGGACTCAGCGGCTTAAACTCACACTGGGTGCATGTGCGTGCGTGCCCAAGATCCCGACAGGAGAATGGAGGAGAAGGGATCGCGCCGTGGCCATTCCCCCTGGGGGGTGATTTCTCGCTTTCTGTCTCTCTGTCCTCTCTCTCTTTCTGGCAAGCGCACGTGCCCTATAGCTAAAACCTCTCCAAAAAAAAAAAAGAAAGAAAAAGAAAAGAAAAAAAAAAA